CGTGGCTCTCTTCTTTCACGGCTGTCCTGGGACGGGGCGTGTGGGGCTGTTCACTCGGCCCTCCAGCCCCGGGCAGCCCTCGTCGGCCACTGTTGGCTCACGCTCCCCCTTGCCCTTTGCCTCCCCAAGGACAGCCTGTCTTGTCCTCAGCAGTGACCCTCAGAGGAGCCTGGGACACACTCTCCCACTCCGCTGTCCCAGGACAGACTCTGAGCTGCCCAATGGGGCTTTGAGGATCTGTGAGGCTTGGAGGACGAGAGCATGTTAGGGAGGATCCGAGTTACGGCACCAAAAAAAAAGCGTTAGGAAGGTCGGGGGACCAGCCGATGGTTACGTCGCTGGACTCCCACATAGTCGACCATGGTTTGAGTCCTGAACCCGGTGGTTTAAAACTCACACTGGGCACGTGCATGCGTGCCCAAAGTCCTGAGAGGAGAATGGAGGAGAAGGGACTGTGGCATGGCCATCCCCCGGGGAGTGAGTTCCCATTTTTTGTCTTTCTATCTCTTTCTGGTGAATGCATGAGCCATATGGCCAAAAAAAAAAAGAATTATCTTAAATAAATAAAAGGGGGGTTGGGGTCCTAGGTTGACCATGGCCACCCAGGAAGGAGTGGACCAGGCTGCAGCCTGGCGAGCCCAGCTCAGGTCCCCGGCCTCCTCCAGGGGCAGCTGTTGGCTGAGTCGGGGCAGGGCCTGGGCCTGACGGGCACCCCTCGCCCCACCCACTTGCTCCCCAGGGCGGCAAGGAGTACCTGATGCGGGCCCACTTTGGCCTGCCCAGCGTGGAGGCCGAGGACAAGGAGGGCAAGCCCCCGATCAGCGTCAAGTTCGAGATCCCCTACTTCACTACCTCCGGCATCCAGGTACACGCCCGTGCCCCCGGGTCTGGGGCAGCCGGCAGGGCTGGGAGGGTGGGCAGAGGGCCTCGAGGGTGGCAGCCAGCTTAGAAAAGGGAGTCAGAGGAGCCAGCAGGTGGCGTGGTGGCTAAGGTGCTGGATCTCACACGGGCGACTGCACAGTTCGAGTCCCAGACCTGACGGTTCGGAAATCACGCTGGGCACATGTGTGTGCACGCCCAAAATCCCCAGCAGAGAAGGGATGGCAGTGTGGCCATCCCCTCGGAGGGTGATCTCTCACTTTCCCTCTCACCGTCTCTCTCTCTGGCCAGCACATGTGTCCAATAGCAAAAAAAAAAAAACAAAAAACTGTTCTTTCTTTTTTTATTTTGTTTTAAATGATTTATTTAATTTCATTTATTATTATTTTTTAATTTGACCAGAGAGAGACAGGGAAGGTGAGAAAGCAAGCTGCCAGATGAAGGACTTGACCTTTGATCAGCCATGTGGGAGTCCAGTGCCTTAACCACCGTCCCACATGCTGGCTCCAGCATAAACTTAAAAAAAAAAAAAAATAGAAAAGAAAAGGGTGTTGGCTTGTCCCGGGACCCCTGACAGGAAGAGACCCCTGTTGTGTCCACCCAGACCCGACCCATATCTGAGCTCAAAGCACAGAGGCACCCCCAGCTGAGCTCCTGTCCGGGGCCACGATATTCACACACATCCCACACAGGGGCCTGTGTTCCTGGGCACCCCCTCGGGAAGCCATGGCTGGGGGAGAGGCTCATGGGGACCCAGGGGCTCTCTGGGACCTGGGTCCCCTGTTCCAGGGCTCTGCGGAAGGCCTAGTCCGCGAGCTGCGTTTTCTAGAGACGGCTGCCCCCCGACGGCCTGTGCGTGGGACAGGCCGGGAGGGAGAATCCCCAGGGCTGTGCACACCCAGTCCTCCCCGCCAGCCCCGGGAGGAAGGAGGGGAGGGCTCTCGGGCAGGTGCTCAGGCGGTCCCATGTCCCAGGTGCGCTACCTGAAGATCATCGAGAAGAGTGGCTACCAGGCCCTGCCCTGGGTCCGTTACATCACGCAGAACGGAGGTGAGTGCTGGCCCGGGGCTGGGGGTGAGTGAGGGGCCCCGCGGTCGTCCCCGGGGTGGGGGGACACAGCGCTGAGGATGGCCCCCTCTCCCCGGCTCCTAGATTACCAGCTCCGGACCCAGTGAGGGCCGCGGCCAACGCCCACCCTGACCTCGCGCTCCTGGTGGGAGCTCGGGGGTGCTTCTGCCAAGCCTGCCGGCTGGAGGGGTGCTCCCTGGACTCTGTGCCCTCGGCCTCCACCCAGGGACCCTCCCTCTCCACGCCGCTCGCCCGGACGCTGTCTCACAAGCCCCCTTTGCCGGAAGAGGCCGGTCTCGGGAAGCCTCGTCTGCACCCCTGAAGGCCGTCGGGGAAGGGCCTCGAGTCCTGTGTGCTGTCCGGCTCCCAGGCACCAAAAAGTGCACCCAACGGCCAGACCCGGCCGCCCCGCCATCGCCAGCCACGCCTCGCCCGGCCAGCAGGGGCGCCCCTTCGTTGCCATGTTGTCTGACACGCAGTTCCTGGGGCTGTCGCCCGCCCCAGCCGCGGCCCGCCCACCCTGGGTCTCCGCAGCACTTAGTGAGGACGGGCCCTCCTCCCAGCAGCCCCAGGTCGGGCGCGAACCGGTGTCCTGGGCGGCTGCTCCCCAAGGCCCCTGGCCAGCCTCCGCAGGCCCTGCCCGAGGCGCCTTTCCAGGGCCAGCCCGGCCATAAGCTGTCACTCAGCCAGATCAGTGTTCCCTGCCAGGGGAGCTGGGGCCCAGCCAGGCTGTGGGCTTTGGCCTTCCTCCCTCCGAGGGGCGGGCGGGGGGCTGCGTGTCACCCACGGCTGTGCTGGATCACCCCGCCACTCAGCCTTGTCTGTGTTCCTGTCATAGTTACATTAAATTCCTTTCAGTACATGCACCGCGTGCTTTGCCTCAGTTGCATGGGGTACGGGCAGGGGTGGGGCGTGCCTGGCTCACACACACACACACACACACACACACACACACGTGCCTGCTGTGAGTTTCAAGCCTCTGGGTCCGGGACTCGAACTGCCGTTGGCCGTGTCAGAGTCCCGCGCCTTACCCACCACGCCACCTGAATGAGAAGCAGCGTGCCCGTGGCCTGGTCTGAGCAGGCGGAGGTGCCACACCTCCTCTGGGTGCCCCGCGGCCATGTCCTCACCGCCATGCTTAACTTCGAGTGCCAGAGCTCCACGTGGGCCCGCCCGGAGCCCCCGCAGCCCCCCTGAGGCTCCCCCCAGGAGAACTGAGCACGCAAGGACATAGCGCAGGCACAGCGGGGGGTGGGGGGCTGTGGTGACACTCTCTTACCCCACTCAGCCACCCCTGTGTCCTCACACCTGGTTACTGGAGCCCTCTCCACCCCTCTCCCACCCCTCCCCCGTGTCTCATCCAGAAACAACACCACCCCCAGGCTCGCCCCCTGCCCAGTGGGGACACAGACCCTGCCCTGGCTTCTGGCTAGAGTTGCCAGATTAAAAGTTTTTTTGCTATAGGGCACGTGCGCTCACCAGACAGACAGAGAGAGACAGAAAGCGAGAAATCACCCCCCGGGGGGATGGTCACGCCGCAATCCCTTCTCCTCCATTCTCCTCTCTGGATCTTAGGCACGCACGCACACGCGCCCGGCGTGAGTTTAAGCCACCGGGTCCGGGACGCGAACCACAGTCCACTATGTGGGAGTCCAGCGACATAGCCATTACACCAACTACTGGTCCCATAGACAGCTCTTAATAAAGACTAATTCAGCTCATGCCCCTCCCCTGCTCCAAATCCCACCATGGCTCCCCAGCGCCCTCAGAGTGAAACCCTCGCTCTGCCGTGCGTGTCTGGCCCTGTCTCCTCCCCATCCCCACTCTCACCTTCCCTCCATCTGGCCTCTTGGCCACAAGCTTTGTCTCACCTCAAACCTGTGGCACCTTCCTGGCATTCACAACCAAACTCAGATATCACCCCCGCACGCCACGCCCCCTAGCCATTTGTTCCAGGCCTGCCTCAGTCTCCTGTTGGCCTTGGAGGCCCCAGGGGCAGGCCCTCTCCCTGCAATCCCATTTGTCACTGCTCTATCCCCAATGCTGGGCTGGGACTTGGACCTGTGAACACCCGCTGGGCTCTGCACACGGAGGCCACCAGGGGGCGCCCACGGGTCGTAAATAACTGCCCTGGGGACCCACGCGGAGGCCGGGGAAAGGCCGGCTGGACCTGCCTGGGGAGAGGGAGGCTCCAGGCCCTTCAAGCTCTTCTGTGGGTTTTCTTTTTCCCCTTTTTTTTTTTTTTTTTTTTTTTATTTTTATTTT